AAAAAAACAACAATTATTTTGGGACAAATGAAATATTAATTGAATTTTAGTAAACTTCATTTTTAATTGAAGGTGTTTAATTTTACTTGTCTATTTTAGGATGCCACATAATACATTTGTTCTTATTTTACTTTTATTTTAAAAAGATAATTACAACATATATTAAATAAAAAGGTTTATTAAAATAATGATTAATTAAAGATAAATATGAAATTTTATCAATTAATTACTACATTTTTACTTTATTAGATAAAAAATTAAACCTACTAAAGAATAGAGAGAGTAAATGATTAAAATAGATGATAGTTATGAATTCAGATTAATTTCTTATGAGCATATAGTAATTTTTTCTCTCCAAATTTATTTTAGGCAAAGATCTAAAAGAAAGAATTTATGAAAATATAAGATACTAAAGTATTAGTATAATGGTATTTTTTATATTGTAGTAATCATTGTTTTAGTCATTTTAGGCAGGGACATGTCTCTTTTTTTTTGTTAAATACTTGTTAAAATTTGATAAATTTAAGTATTGTCGATTGAGACATAAGTTGTAATTGTTGTATAAAAAATTGATTTTAATTTTATTAATTGTCTAATTAAAGTGCATTACGTGACATTATATTGAAAATAAAATTTATTTTTTGTAATTTTTTATATAAAATAGTACTAAAAATATACAATAAATATACCATAAGGGAAAAACCCTAATGTAAATTACCAATTTGGTGCCAACTCAACGTTGATGTAGGATACAAAATGCCACATCATTGTCATGTAAGCAATGGACCCCATCAGAAGCACCTTTCCGTTATAAATTAACGATTGTCTAAGGTAAGCCATACAAAAAAGACTTATTTGCAACCATACAACAAGTGGAAAGGTTAATTTGCATTTGTTTTTAGTTGAGGGGCTAATTTGCCACCATTTACCCAGTACAGGGGCTGATTTGCCTTTTTTGCCAATTCCAAACCAGAAATTTTCACTAAATACCTTATTTCTAATTATTTCAAAATAAACAATCAAACATCTATACTTAATAATTTAGACAAGACTACTAATCATTACTTTCAAATTACCATGCCAAATAAGGCTTAAGAAACTATCCTAAATCCCTTCGCAAAGAAAAAAAAAAAACTAAAATTAGGGTGTAAGAAAAAAAAGGTCGCTTTTCCTAGTTCCATCCCTGGGGGCTGGAATACGAGTTGCAATGGCGGTTGTTGGTGGCTGTCCAAGGTAGGCAAACGGGAAACGTGAGTTGAACATTTTGGATTGCGTTATTTTCGCCTAAAATCAAGGGATGTGGCAGATTTGATGTTGTACTGTTACCTATTTTGGGGATGTGCTGGGATTTTGAAGTACAAAGCAAAATCATAGAAAGATGGTCAAATAGATTTGTTTTCTTGTCGGACAAATCTTTGAATTTAACTTGATTCTAGGTTATTTATTTAGACTTATAGTAATTTGGGTTTGAGTTAACACGAATTACTTACTAAGCTGGTAACAGCACCATGAATAATAGCCTTGGTATGGAAAATTTTATTGGGATTGGAGGCAGTCATTTATGATTTACATGTCTCTTCACAGTATTTTTATTGGATATTTGATTTTTTTAATTTGTTTTCTTAGATTACAGGTTAAAATTATCTTTTTTATAATAAATTTGTATAGAAAAATAAAAAAATAAATATTAATTTTAA